AGATTAACAGTAATGTAATTTCAGACAGATTTCTAACTGGGTTAGACAGATTTTTCAGCTGAATTTCCAGTCCTCTTTCACCCTTCCTCTTTATTGTTTGTTACTTTTAAACTAAAGGAGAGTTAGCAACATTTTTTTTTTAATTTTTTTTTTCCAATGGCAAATAGGTCTTTTCTGTGCTCTAATGTTGCCAAACATTAAACATGTAAATGCCTCTTGCACATTTGACTTTGGATGACCATGTTAATAAAGCTACAATATCATATTTGGTGTTTAAAAGCACACAAATTAAACCCCAAAAAAACCAACCCAAAGAACAAAACCAACCAATCCCCTCCATCCCCCTAACAACTATCACCTGAAGCCAAAAATGGTGGACTAAAATAGCTTCTTATTTTTAGTTCTGTTGTGTTGTCCTTTGCCATTGTCTCCCTTTGGATTTAACTAGCAGTTCTGCTATTGGTAGTTAAATTGAACTTCTATATAACATGTTTTTAATATGTACAGTTTCACTGTTTCATGGATCTCTTGGCACAGAAAGCTGAAGTGTGCATGGACTGATAGGAACAATTTGAACACTGGTTCTTTTATACTATATGTTTGTTTTCTGTTCTGGTAGTCCCTGCTTCCCCAAACTGAGATGCAGGTGTGTTTGTCCACTGCCAGGATTATTTACAGTGGAAAATGACACAAAAGAGAACAGAATGCTTTTAATGTCTTGAGATTTCAGAGGAAACTGATAAAGGAATTTTTCAATGCTCAACTGCTGAGCGATGGTGCTGTGGGTGTTTTGGCATGGGAATATCACATAACTGTGCCTCAGTATCAATAGCTTGGAAGGCTTTCCCATTGTGATAGAACAAGGGGCAATGGTTGCAAACTGGAACGTAGGAGGTTCCATGTAAACATCAGAAAAGCTTCTTTACTGTGGGAGTGACAGAGCCCTGGAACAGGCTGCCCAGAGAGGTTGTGGAGTCTCCTTCTCTGGAGACACTCAAAACTCACCTGGACACGTTCCTGTGTGATGTGCTCTAGGTGATCCTGCTCTGGCAGGGGGGTTGGACTGGATAATCTTTCCATGTCCCTTCCAACCCAACCAAGATTCTGTGATTCTGTGATTTTGTGTGATTATGCATTGACAGGAAATAAGAAAACAAAGGAGAGTTGAGGATCTGGAGTTATTCTTGTGAACCTTCTACTAATTTACCTCAGAGAATCATAGTTCAGAAAAGAAAGACTGAAAAGTATTGAGATCTTAGTTTTGTTTCTGGGTTCCCAGGCGGTCTTGCAGCAGTAGATCCTCTGTTACTTCCAATGTGCTGTTGTATTACTGTAGTATAGTCCAAAGACAGCAGCAGGGTACTGGCCTACCAGAACCATAACTTGAAAATTTTTCAGATCTGGGAAACAGCTTTTGTTAAATAGAGTATGAAGGTGAAGAATGCAGTATCCAAATATAGAAAATAGCTATCATTCCATAAATGAACTGCTATGATAAAGCAGATATTTGTAAAAAGTACATGGTAATGCCACAACCTGAGTGACACTTTGCAAGCAATGAGTCAGCAAGCATTAGGAGAATTTCATAAAAAAAAAAAAAAAGTTTTCTTGCTCATCCTTTGAATTGTGTTGGGTTCCACTTTAAAACACTTTAAAAGCTCACTGAGATTTCTTTGTGGGGCTTTTTTTTGTTGTTGTTGTTGTTGGTGGGGTTTTTTTTGTTTGTTTTTGTTCTTAATGTAACTGTGTTCAAAATCATCCTCTTGATGCCAGACCCTTGAACTTTAAAGTAAAAGTATGCTAATAAAATAAAAAACACTGGCAATTATAAAGATAGTACTTTTCAGCTGATGGCCCTTTGAGTTGCTAGAGACAAATCTTAGGCTCCTGCACTCTTCCACAGACATGAAATGAGCTTTTTGCATAGTTTTTTCTTCCTTTTTACAGAAGTTACTGTTGCCAACATTGCAGTGGGAAAGGGTGCATCTGCCTGCTCTGCATTCCAGGTAGGGATGCATGTGTAATGATTTTTCCAGGACATGAAAGATCTCTACTCCAAAGGAACAGGCCTTCCTGTTTTGCTCATGCACATCTCCCCATGTTGACTTCTGGGAGATGGGCCTGAGTAAAGAGTGCAGGATTTTGCCTCAAGCAAGAATCATGCATGAACAGATATGAACATTGTACTGTATCACTGGCTTGCTGATATAAAGCTGCAGCTGGAAGCGAAGTTAAACGGTTTTGCCAGGGCAGCCTTATATCTGTATTTTTCATTCTTCTGGAAGTCCTCAGTTACCCCACTGAAATTTCTTCTCGGGCAGCTTTTGAAGATCTGTTTAGCTTGCCAGGGGTATCCTGGTATGTGGCAGCTGTATAGCATGGCATGAGATTTTTGAAAACCACTGTTCCTACAGGACTTTGCTCTATAGCTGCAGCACACATTTACAACTGATCCAAGATATCCTGCCAGTGCCAAGCTGTGCTTTACCCATTAGCAGTTCTGGTTTTCTGGAAGATCCTCAATTGATAGGTTGCAAAACCAGTTTTTTTAAGATTTTGGATAAAAAATTTCATAGATTTTCTTCAATCTGTGCATGCATATTTCTGTCAGCAAAATTGCAAACTCAAAATAATTGGTGAGCATTCAACACATACAAGATCTGAAGCAATGTGTGTGCACAGAACTGAACTAAAGACAAGGGCTCCCTATCTCTAAGTACGTAGCAGGCAACTAGATTGTACAAAATACCGATAGTTTGCATTTGCATTCTTGAAATAAGAATCTCCACGTAAGAAGTTGAAGCAAATTCTCTCTAGAAAAGTTTGAAGGAAGAGAGAACTCCATGCATGGCTAAACAAATGGCAAAAATTTACCGCAGGGGCATATATTTCATCATGTGAAAGAGTCCAGTGCTTTGATTATTCTTTTTTAATGGTCAGAATTTGTCAGCATTTACAATGTACCATCATGTAAGACAGCCCTGTTAGTTCTACAACAAATAATCACGAAGACTTCATAGGCACCATATATTTGTAACAGCATTTTAAAATTGCATTGGGGGTGTGTGTGCACATGCACACACGTGTGTGCTTGTGTGTGTGATAGAGCATGACAGAGCCTATCATGATATGCTTCCAACTTCTTGTAGTCTCCTGGACACAACCAAGAAACATTGACTGGATTATCATTTACAAAGGTTGAGGACTAACAGCCTCCATGTTATACAGATGGTTATCTTCTTCCTAAAAGAACACACTGTCATTACAAATACCATATGTATCTTGTTCTCACCCAATAGAACTCTTTTTCAGTTTTTCAGATTGGAAGGATTTCTGCAAAGAATCATATTAATTTGGTTTTGTGTAAAGTGAAACGAGGCACCAACTGAGACTGAGGATGCAACTTGTCACCAAAAAATGTCTGATGACAATAATTCTTGAAAAAAAAATGAGTAAGAAAGCTATGCATTGACAATACTGCATTTGTTGTTGTTTTTTTTGCACATACAAGAGCCATATTTGTTGCTGCTTCCTACAATTGTTGGTTTTCATTGCTGTCATGTTGCTTGTAAAACCTGGGTTATTCTAATGAACAGAAAACATGACTTGAATTTGGGTAATGCTTACAACCATACAAGTAATCTATCAGTAGCAACAGTGTCAGCTGGAGAATTTATGCTACAAGTGGTTAACATTACACTACTTGAAACCAATAGCTCTTCACACAGTAGAAGACTGAGGGTCCTATTCAGCAAATATTCAGGGTCCTATGGCTGTGGCCACAGAGGTTCCAGAAGCTCACGCTGAGTCTAATCCTGATTCAGGAACCAAAAGGATATGCTGTGTATATATTTCTCTGCACAGCCCGGATGCGCTGGACACCCTCCCCCACTTGATTCCTGGGAAGGAAAAAAATATGTCTCTGTTTAGCTCAGTGACATGAAAAGCAATGCACAGTAATGAAATCTAAAGAAGTTAGCCAGGCATGTATGAAAAGAACAGGATGCCTGTAAAAAGGGAAGAGCTGTCAAAACCTAATTGTGGGCTCTGGCTGCAATAAAATTTATCAAAGAGGGAAGACAGGTCGGATATAAGGATGCAGACAACTTCTGCTAAGAGACACTTCTTGTATTCTGGGAAACAGTAAACATTACACTACTCCTCATGTGCTTTGTAAAGCTGTTCCTATCAATGCTTGGCTACTGCTGAGATCTTTCTTGGTGATGTGCCTTCTAAACCCGGCTCCCAAATGCCCAGGTAGGCATATTGATTGTGGCACTTCAACCAGTAGCTAACTTGTTATTCAGGGTACAAACATACAGGCAAACCTCCCCCGCTTTGCTTGATCCTCCTTCACAGCTTACTTGCACGTCAGCAGCAACCTTGCTCTGAGGAGGGATGGGGCATTCCCACTGCAAGAGCCTGGGAGCACCCAAAGGCCTCCTTGCTAGAATTGTGCTGCTTTGCTCCCCAGGCACCAAGAAATGTAATTGCTATGGACACAGGGCAGGACTGGTATTTTTTCCATTTTGTAGCATCTTCCTATTGCCTGACAGTCATTTATGGGATTGCCAAGGGTTAGTGCTTACAACTACGTAGGTGAAGTCCTCAGCTGCATTCTGGTAATGTGCTGCACTCTGATGCCTGAGGTATACTCAGAGACGCTGTGAACTGCCTGCCTCTTTATATTAGGTGCTTATGGCATTGTATGTGGCTTGATAAGGTTTTAGCATTGGAGGTAACATTAAGGGTGTTCATAAACATAGCAGTTTCTGTTGACTGGGATTACTGTCTGACTTTAGCTGGTGATAGCAATGTCAAAAGTAAGTCATAGTAACTCTTAGGAAACAATTTAGTTAGATCTTTGATAAATTTTTGTGTCTCGAATCAGGATTAGCATTCCCTGTATTGGGGAGAGGATTAGACAGAGGGATTAAAAGGACATCTTTACCCCACTGGACTCTGTGGAATAGCCCCTGAGGATATGGCTAAGAAAGAGTTCAACAGGAATGCAAAATTTCTGCTGAATAGGTTAAAAGGGTGAGGAAGCCTCTTCGGCAGCCATCCAAGCGCAGAAGACCTGCATAACATTTCTGCTCAATAGGGCCCTAAAGACAAAAAACAAAACAAAACAAAACAAAAAAAAACATAGGAACCTTGAAAAGCTTTTCTGATTGTGTGGCTTCTTATCAACGCCTCAGATCTCCAGAGACACTTAAAATATATTTTTTTTTCAGTGCAGTTAGGCATCCCTTGACATGTGCTAGTGGCATGGATGATATATTCTTACAAGAGAAGAAGTCAAATTAGGTTGTTATATATATATAGGTGTATATATATATATAAAATAGATCTTGTTTTTTCTGTAAACAAGGTCCACTTCTTTATATCAATTATTAGTAAAAGTTACCCAAGATCCTAATTTAAAAAACAAAACCAAACCCTTAATCCAGTGTATAATGTTCAGTGTTTGCATGTATCTATCAAAGCCATTTATAACTTTCTGTCCCCCTAAAATTGAAAGGAGAAGACTTTTGTGTTATGTTTGACTTTTAATATTGGTGTTTCCAAGCCCTTTTCTAGGATTTCATGCATGCATGTGGATCTGGGTTTTGTTCATAAAATTTTACCCATTTTCTAATGCCATATGGAAGAGTTTTAACAATTACAAGAACAGAGAAGCAAGAAATAATTCTTACCTCTGCAAGAGGATGCCAGTGAGCAATGGGTTTCCGAGGATACGAGAGCATTTCGTTCCAGTGGTCGCGACCTAGACTTTCTGCATCGTTGCCTACTTGACATACTCCAATGACCTCATTGTGACCTACACTGTGAAAATGTTCCATAATATTTTTTTCTTAAAATTTTACCTTTAGAACCACACCATTTACATTTTTCATTAGAAATGTTAATCACAGTTTTTAAAAATTAATTCTTGCCTGAAATAATTGTAATGAACTAAAAAATACCTAGGTTTGCTCTTTGCATTACCCATAACCAGAAAAATTTAGTCTTTTCCCCATTATAGCACCCACTCTGTGTCTGTGTGTGTTTGTTTCTTGTTTTTGCATGAAGAATGTAAAAAGTTCTTTGCCTGTGTTCTGTAATTAATTGCAAATATAAGTAAATTCTAGGCTACGATTTTAGTGAAGGAGGCCTGTGTCTAAGGGGTTAATGTGATTGTACACAAACAGAACATCAGTGTGTAGACTGTCTGATTGTATGTTCAGTTATTTCAGTTCTGGTATGCATATATGCAACTTAGTTATGTCAGTAATGAATGTAAATCTATGTTTTCAAACTTAGAAAGGAAATTCTGCTTGGCAATATAAGAAATTTTAGTCTACTACCGAAGTCAACATGACAGTGATTTCCCACATATTGTGAAACACTTATGACTTTGTCTCTGGATGCAAATCTACTGTGCAAGGTTTTATAAGCCAAAAGGTGATGTTATTTTACAGCTACAGGTATCTCACCGGTCATAATCCATAACAGCTATCAACAAGTTAATTTGGTCAATGTTTTCTGGAGGGACGTCAAAGACTATGGCTTCATTGTAAACAGGATTAAGGGTATTCCTCTTGGTAGAAGTTTTTCTTTTCTTTAGTCGCCTTCCTTCACACATTAAAGAAACCTTCACGTAGGGATCTGTGTGAATCATAAGAACAATGTTGGTTTTTGTTGTTGTTTTTAAACAAACATAAATGGAAAGTGAATGGAGCAGCTTTCTTGTATGCCCATACCTGCTTGAAGTATCAATCACCTGGACCTGACTGGAATTTAAGGTTCCTTATTACCATGGAAAGCCTGGGAGGCAGTGGAGCTTTGAAAGTTTTACTTGGTTGACTGCTGATAATGAACAATTTATGATCAAGAAGCTCCTTGTTGTGTATCAACTTCTCAAAGGGTATTAAAATATCCACTGAACCATGCTATACATGACTCTCTTACACAACAGCCTGCACAGCAGTCTATTTATAGCAGCCTAATTACTGGTGCAGATTTGTAGGACAGGCAGAAGACAATAATATTTTACACATTGGGATTTACTGATGTAGGGTTAAATGTAACTCAAAGTATAACAATTAGTGCCTCGTATTTCTCGAGAGTATTATAATTATTTTTAAGCTCCTGAATGTAGGAAGGAAAGCTATTTCTTGTATCTCCTTTCTGGGAGCTCTACAACTTCCTGCTAGTATTTAGAAGTAATCTATGAACTCTTCCGTACAGTAGTTTTCATCATCAAATTTTGAAAGGGTTGCTGAAAGAAGTCTGGGATGATCACTGTTCTGTTCATATGCCAGCAACAGCAGAACTGGCTCTGTGGCTCTTGGAGATTGTCAGAGGGGGCTGGTCTGCCCCTGTGCCATAGCTGTAACAAATAGTCAGATGTACAATCAAATTCACAGGGTTATGAATGCAGTTTGGCCAGCTCGTGCTATTCTGAATCACAGTGGCTTTAGAAGGAATAATCTTGCTTTCTTTTAAAAGCAGATAATTGTAAACTGTTGGCGGCATCAGAAAAAAATAAAATACATTATTTACTCCCCAGAAACTCCTGTACTCAGGTAACTCAAGAGCTTGAAGCTGAAGAACCCTCTTTTCAAAACTCATTCTGGGAATTGACAGTGCTGAGTTCTGGGACTCAGAAGGGAAGTGGGACAGAAATCCACATTGAGTACTAAATTAATTCCTACCTGATGCTCCTGTGATATCCATTGCCTTTAAATTTCTTGCCTTTATTATTGTAATAGTTAGTCTACCAGCTGTTGGAAGGTAGCAGAGTGAAAACATCAGGTCACCGAGATCCACATTATCCTGTTTCAAGGAAAGAGAGACAGCATGAAGAAATAATAACAATTCTCCCTACCCAGAACAGGAGCTAAAGAGAAAGTATACCTTTGGGGATCTACAGTTATGCAAGCAAAAGCTGAATTCTCCTTCAGAAACATTTCTGAAAAAACAGACAACCACCTGCACACAAGATTCAAGTAGTTACATTTGTTGCTACACCACAAAAGTTCTCAAGTGTAAATGTGGTTATAATTCCTACTACTCTATCCTTGGAGGTGAAATACATTAAGAGGCACAGTGTCAGGCAGTGGAATTTGTTCCATTTTATTCCATTTGTTCCAATTCGTTCCACATGTTCCATTTTGTAGTGGTTTGCATGTACTGTTGACAAGTTGCAGCAGATCTCTGTGCTTTTCCTTCTGCTCTGCAGGATAACGACAGGGAGTTTCACAGAACGTACATCAGGCAGGCAGGGCAAAGTCTTATGCAACTCTCAAGCTTTCATAAACTCAGGTGTGATGGGGTGAAGTCAGTCTGGTAACGGGGAGTCTCTACTGGCAGCAGGGTAAGGACATTGATTCCTATGTCTTGCACAGACAAGCTCCCTCAAGTAATCTTATCTACCTGCTTCACTGATAGAAACATTTGCAACTCTTTCCTGTGTCAGTGGCATCAGAGTTTCAGAAAGGTAGCAGGAAATGAGCCAACCCTGTTTGAAGTTACAAAGCATCTGTCTTTTGTTTTTTAAAAAAGGAAATTCAGCTCTTCTATTAAAACAAACAGGGAATAAAGGATTGTATTATGTGATGTCTGGGATTTTATTTGCATTTTTTTGACTGAGCAGTTAACTGGTACTTTTATAGACTTATCTCCTGTAACCTAATATTTCATTCTTGACTGAGAGAAGTTGTTGTGTCCATCAAATTCAAAGTGACTTTCTAGATTTTATAGGGAAGGGCAATAGAGCTGTTGCAGAATATGTGTATCTTGCTCACTAAGCTTTGTGCAATACCTTCTCCTCTTTCCCAGGTTGGCTCCTCCTGTGTCAGTCACCAAAAATGAAGGGTGATGGATGACACAGAAGGTAAGTAAAAATACCTTGTCACAGCAACAGGTTAGTGTTTGTATCTGAGCTAAATGCTGTGCCCAGGGCCTAAACAGTCACTTTACATGGCTTTATGCACTGGCAGAGGGACATGCAGGACAGAAAGAAGTGCTGTCACAGAGTTGTAGAAAAATGTTACATTGGAAGGAACTTCTAGAGGTCACTTGATCCAACTCCTTGCTTAAGAGAGGCATCTTTGCTTTTGTTCTCAGCTTACGAAAGGGAAAAAAAGACCATGTACATTCATTCAGATACAGGTCTTTTCTTTGTGCCATTATCAGAGAGAGCTGCTCTCGAAGAAGGAAAATCTAGTATTATGGGCCCTTTGTCAGTAATATCTAGCTTTTAACCATGACTTGACTTCATCAACTATTGTATTTTTCATTTTAAAGATCAGTGTTTCATGGGAGCTGTAAAGCTAATAAAGGTTGTGACAGTATCAAGATAGCTGATATGACTCATCCTGTTTAGTGTCTTTTGATGGCTCAGGCTTGGAAGCAGACCTGCTGCAACAAACTCTGTGTCACTGATTCACTTTGGCTGGGAGAATCAAAGTGCTGTTTGAGAAGGTGATGCTGTAAGGAGTCCTACAGGTTAAAGTTATGTCAGCACATCCAGGAGAAATTTCTCTGGGCTAACACCTGCACTTAACATTACAGGAGAATAACTGATCTCTGACATTTTCTCAGTGATCAGCTGGAGCTTGATACCTATAGCCTGGGGAACAGGAAGCAAAGATTTCATTATCCTTTCCATTGTGAGGAAGAACTTCCAGAATTCAAGTGTTTATCTTACCCAGCTCTGAGGTGCTGAGATTTGTAGCTGTGGAATTCTTTCTCATGGTGCTAACCATGCAACTCTGGGTTTTTCATAAGCCATTTAAATAAATCCTTTTGTGAAGTCTGCTTTTGGGAATTTGGGGGATTTGCCAGTCTGGCAAACTTTGAGAGTTCATTTTTAATGGATTGGTCAAACTTTCAGGAGAAGATGAAATCATTGAATCTCTTGTTTTTTCCCTGACCACAAAGAAGCCCATCAGGTGTCTGCTGTTCTAACTGTGTACTTTGGTATTCTTAGATATTGTCAACCCTGTTAAAGTCATTCTGTATTCAATTCCAGCACTCCACCTGGGGACTAGGTAATTCATTATGTGAGTACTGTAAATACTGTTACTACCAAATACAAGAGTTTCCATTTTAGACTTGATTATCCTGAATGAACATTTAAAAACCTTTTTTCAGTTATTATCAAGAAGTTAATATGTAAATCAATTACTATACAATTTGATTTACATAGAAATTCCAAGAAACATTATTCCTCTGCATAAATGAAGTCAATAGGAAAGAAGAGATGCATTGAATGCAGTATTAGGAATAATGCCATAATATACTTATCCACAAACTTTGCCTTATGCTTGAAAAATAATCATCTACTCTGTGATGTATTTTTTGTCCAATGCTACAGTGACAAAAATACGTTGTTACTGCTTTTCCAAATACTGCACTTTGCATCATACAGGAAAACACTGTTAATCTGGAAACAGAGTCTGTAATTCTTCAATCTTTTCCAGTTCCAGAAGCTGTAGGCATTGCAGTAATACATGACAGACAATTGTAAGATTCTGTCTGTTCATAAGCCAATGCAATCCAACCATGGCAGTTGGAGAATGCAATTGAAGGAAAGCTTCCTGGCAGAAGCAGGAAAGAAATGTGCTTTTTAACATGAAAATCCTTCTCTGAGTCTGAAAAATAACTCCTGTCTTTACTTGTAAATGTTTTCTTAATTTTGGAAAGATAGAATTTTTTAACAGAGTGAGCCTTTTCCAGTGCTCTGGCTATTCCACCATTCTTACCCCTATTTTCTATAATCAAAGGGCAATATTTTAAACTGTTTCAAACATTGTACAATTTACTGTCGGGGCTTTGAGGTTCAACTTGAGGAGAGAATGTTCTTCAAAGGGTACCACAAACCATGACCCCACCACAGAATCTGCATGTGTGTATCATCTGAGTGGAACAGGCAACACACTCTGGCTGGAGATACTGGTGTCAGGCATGACTGTTACATCCAGCAAACACAAGTTCTTAGTATAAATTCAGTTTCTTAACAGAAGCAAGAGAGCACAGGGAGGATTATTGCACATCTTCACTAGTTTAAGATCACTGAACCACATAGCTTAAGCCATGGATTGTCACTGAAGGTGTTCTATATTATCAAGAAACAGTTTTAAGGAACAGAATTAACAAGTATAGAGGGTAAGATCTGCAAGGATTATGCTTCTCTTTGAATTGAGTACTTATGTGTTACTATGTATGCTTCACAAAATGTGCCAATATAAACGTTACATTGCTAGAGACATTTTGAAATTCCTGCTTAGGAAAAGTTTTCATAATATTGTAGGTTATCAAGTCATGCATTCTGTACATTCCAAATTTGTGTCTATTTAGTGCAGTAGTAACACCATATTGTGCAAGTTGCGGTGCAACCAGGATATCCTTAAGATAAGAAGAGCAAGAGGCTGGTTAATAGTATTAATAACATAAAATAAAATATTTGAAAGATAATTAAATTACAGTATTAATTTATTTATAGGAGTATGGCTATATTATTTTTATTCTTGTCCTGTTCAGCGGGAAGGACCTCAAAAACTGTCCATGATCAGAGGAAGAAAGTACTCCTCCATTCTTAATCTATAACCTGCTTATTCCTGTTTTTAAAATATGTAGAATAAGATTTTGCTTTGCTTTTCAAGTGCCCCAGGCTTTGCTTCAGGCTTGGGATGATGGCTGAGTTCCTTGATGTTGTTAGCTGTGCCTTACAGTGCTCCACACAACCTATCTGATGGCTGTTTCCGATATTCCTGCCTCGATTTGTCAGTGAACCCATGTTCTGTTAATGTAGTTCTTTATTCAACAGGGCAAGAGCATGAAATTCCTTCCTTAAAAAAATTGCCCAGTGTTACCTGGGAGAGTTAGATGTATTCAATACTAGGTAAGCAGCCTGTTGGAGGGTCCAAACTAGAGTCGTAAATCACAAGGTTTGCCCGAAAACTGTGTCCTCACGAAGCAATGAGTCTCTTACTGTAACCTCAAGATAAACAAAACCTTGTCATTGCTGTTAGGAGTGTGGAGATATGACTTCCCTCACATTACACTCTCTCCTTGCTGGTGGAAATATTTGACATATCACATAAATGTTATTTTTTTAATAGTGGCTTCTACTGAAAGGGTTATCATTTCTGTCAGAAAATATTTCATTTCCCTCTTTTAAAACAAACAAGGTGATAATATATCTTTTGCACACTGAATTCCAATGGTAATGATAATAGCTTGTTAGTCTATTGTCACACAGTATTTCTAGATTTTAAAATTATTAATTTTTTAAGAGGTTAGCCTGCAGGATAAATCACTCTCTAGTACTACATCATGCTGGTCCTCAGGTGAGTGTAACTTGGCTTATTAAACAAGGACACATCTAATCTTAAACAGGACTGCAACAATGGGCCTTTATATGGCTTTTCCTTTGATCCTTGGAGACTGCATAAGAAGCTCAGGCTGGATCAAACCTTCCCAGTGAAACCTGGAAGTTACCTGGTAATTAGGAAGTTTCTGGCAAACAGGGATGACATTGGGGATCAGATTTCTCTGGTGGATGGATTATCCTTTGTCATAAATACGTTTGGGAGCAGAGAATGGGTATGTAAAATCATGCAAAACAGGCACAAATGATGGAAGGAAACAAGGCAAATTAGAAGTTGCAACTTCTGCTTTTGCCTCTGGTCTAGAAAAAAATATGCTATCCTTGAGTTAGGCAATCATAAGCTTTGTGCTCATTTCTTCAGAAATTTGCATTTTGTATTTCTGGAGCAGACAAGCTGGGATAGGGCTGCTATCATGCACTGCCTCTGCAACACTAATGA